ACACACACAGACACACACACAGACACACACACAAACACACACACACAGACACACACACAGACACATACACACACACACAGACACACACACAGACACACAGACTGAAAATTTCAAAAAAAAAAAATGTATCCTGCCCTCTTAAGGCTCCAATCTTGGCAGATCCCTCCACACACTCAGACTCCTTAGGGCATCCTAGTGACGGTGGCTGGGAGACCCCTCCACACACTCAGACTCCTTAGGGCATCCTAGTGACAGTGGCTGGGCTCTCAGGTATCGGAGCTGATGTGTGGATTTGTGAGACTTCATGCAGTCTCTCAGCTTTCACCATCACAGGTGGGGCTTTATCCCTAGGATACGGGTGCCCAAAGCTGTGAGCTGAGGGCTCTGACCCCCCAGACCAGGGGGGAGTGTATTTTGAGGTGCATACCCCAGGGGTGTATCGTGATCTCTTTGGGACCCTTCAAGCCTTTGACCCTCTGGACCACCAGATGCCGCTTGCTCTCTCCCTGCCTGCCAAGGTAGGATGCTGGTGTGGAGGATGGCGGGGCAGTTTAGGCTGGTGCAAAGCAGAGGGTTGGGCTCTAGGAGTTGGAAAATTAGATGTGGGTGGGACAGGGGGCTCAGAGGAGGCCAGATGGGATTCGTTAGGGGGCGATTCTGGAAGCAGAGTGGCTCACTTGCTCTTGCTGTCTTAACCTCCTTAGGTCCTCTTCTGTGCTCTTGGCTATAATCATCTTGGCCTGGTAGATGAATTTGGCCGGATCTTTATGCAGGGAAATAACAGATACGGGCAGCTGGGAACTGGAGACAAGATGGACCGAGGGGAGCCCACACAGGTGAGGTGCTTTCCTGGTGACTCTCATCCAGGCTCCTAACCCTGCACCCAGTGACTTTGCCATATTTCCTAGAAACCACTTTCTCCTCCTCCTGGGCAAAGCTAGGGCCATCACATACAACCCCCAGGGTGCTGCTGCAGGGCTTTCCCCAGAAGGTCTGCTCTGTGCCATGCACAGCATGTGTGCAGAAGAAATTGAGTGGAAGAGCGGGCTGAGGGAACCTGGGTGTGCTGAAGTACTAGGAAAGGTGGGATGCAGCCCGAGAAGACGGCTCAGAATGTACAGTGCATGTCATGTGAGCCCAAAGACCTGCATTCCGATCCCTCATACCCATGTAAAAAGCTGGACATGGTGGTAAGCACCCATGATACCAGCACTGGGAGGGGAGACAGAAGGCTCCCGGGACTCACCAGCCAGCCAGCCAACTGGTGAGCTCAGGCTCAGTGAGAGACCCTGCCTCAAAAAGAAGGAGGGCAAGTGAGACACACTCAGCATTGACTCCAGCCTCAATGGCCACAAGCATGAGTACACATTCCCTACACACACACATACTGCTTTAAAAGGGTAAGATGCTAGCCGAGCCTGTGGGTCTGAGAAGGTTCCGGTGGGGATAGGGAAGGGCATTCCATGTAATGAGGACAGGCTAATGATGAAACTTACACATCAGACAGTAAAAAAAGGCTGGCCAGATGGACTGGTTGGATCCCAGCGGTAGAGTACTCGCCTAGCAAGCACAAGATCCTAAACTGAAACCCTGGTAGGAGAAATGAAGTCAAGAAAGAGGAAGTGAGAGAGGGCTGGAGAGTATTTCAGCTGACAGAGCTTTCTTTATATGCATAAATCTCCGAGTTCCATTCCCAGCACCACAGTAAAACCTGTAATCTTTTGTTCTCTGAGACAGGGTTTCTCTATGTTGTCCTGGCTGTCCTGGAACTCACTTTGTAGGCCAGGCTGGCCTCAAACTCACAGAGATCCACCTGCCTCTGCCTCCCAAGTAGTGGGCTTAAAAGCATGCACCACCGAAGCTCCTTGTAATCACATTTGGACTCTTAGCGCAGGTAGAGGCAAGACATTGGGAGTTCAAGGTCATTTGGCTCCATATGGAAGTCAAGGCCAGCCTCTGGGGTATAGGAGATCCAGTATACGAGATCCAGTATCTGGGGTATACGAGAGAGAGAGAGAGAGAGAGAGAGAGAGAGAGAGAGAGAGAGAGAGGAAAGAGGGAGAGAGGGAGCGAGGGAGCGAGGGAGCGAGAGAGAGAAGGAGGGTCAGGTAGAGAGAAGAGAACAAGAGGCAGAGGATGCCCTGGAAACCACTGGCCTGTGAGGCAGTGTCTTCGTGGGCACAAACATGGCTGGACCAATTTGGAAAGGAGACATTGCAGTATTTACAGGTCCTGGAATAGATGGCAGCCATCCACAGGTGACACACACAGGTAACTGCCTGTGAGTGCATAGGAGTCCAAGAACGCAGACCCCACCAGGATGCCCACGGGGGACAGGGGGTGGTGGTAGCAGCACTTGAGAAAGACTCTAGCTGGTATGTGGCAACAAGAACCACAGTAGGAGATGTTTTAGGGAGACATGAACAGACATTCAAAAAGAATGGTTTGAAGGGGACATGGTGCAAGTTCAGACTGTTTGCACTGAGAGTAAAACACTGGCCTGCAAATGTACATAGGTCAGCCAGGGTCCAGGCTGAGACAGAAGGGCAGCTGTAGGCTGCGCCATGGTTGTCACAGAGGAATGAGAGGGGTATCCTGAGTCAGGGACAGACAGCTGGCCTAGCATGCGTGGGACCCAGAGTGTCATCCCTGGTACTACCAAAACCAGGCACAGTGGTGTGTGACCCCACTGTGTGTAATAACCCCAGTGCGTGGTATGTGGAGACAGGAGGATTGTAAACTGAAGATGAGCTACACAGTGAGTTCTAGGCCAGGCAGGCTACATGCGACCAGTCCTAGTCACTGTTCTATTGCCATGCCAACCAAAGCAACTCTTATAAAAGAAAGCTTACCTAGAGTTTAGTGCATGAGAGTCACGGTGGCACTGGAGGTCACATCTTTTTAATCCTTTAATTTTCCTCTAACAGTGGCACTCCCTGGTGACTAAGCACTCAAATGTGTGAGCCTCTGGGGGCAGTTCTCACTTAAGCCACCACAGGACCCCCATCCCAAAATAAACAGAGCTGTGGAGATGGTTGTCAGGTAACGGTCCATGCTATCAAGCCTGATGACCTTAGGTTAATCCCCTGGGAGCCCTCCTGGTTGAAAGACAAAGCTGATATGCAGCGGTTGTCCCACGAGTGCCCTGTCGTACTTGCATCACACAAAACAAACGGAACTGAAAACTAAGCAAACAAAAACCTTATGAAACAATACGACACACTATAATCACACCCTTTATTAAAAACACGTAATGTTTAACCAGGCCTGAGGGGAGGGGAAAAGATCTGTTCAAAGCCAGTCTGCACTACACTGAGCCTAAAACCAGCCTGGCTATATCTCAAGTCTGTGTCTCAAAATTAAGTCAAAAATGCATTCAGGATGCACTTCAGTAACACAGTGCTTGTCTGGCAGGCACAAGACTAGATTGCTGCTTACAAAACTGTTTATTTAGGGAAAGAGTAAAGGCAGTTAAGTACACTGTTTGCTTTGCAAGCGGGAGGATCTGAATTTGATTCCCAGAACCAAGCACAGGAGTGCATGATTATAGTCCCAGCCACAGGGAGGCAGAGGAACCTCCAGGTAGACCGTGCCTCAAGCATGACAGCTAAGGTTGGCCCCTCTAAACATCACGCACATATGCTCACCTGTGTCTATACCATAGAACAGCCACCAAGAAGTTAGTAATTTTTTTTCGTTTTGTTTTGTTTTGTTTTTGAGACAGAGTTTCTCTGTGTAGCCCTGGCTGTCCTGGAACTCACTCTGTAGACCAGGCTGGCCTCGAACTCAGAAATCCACCTGCCTCTGCCTCCCAAGTGCTGGGATCAAAGGTGTGTGCCACCACCGCCTGGCCCCAGTTTTATTTTTGAGACAAACTCTCACTGTGTAGCCTGGTTTGGATTGGAACTCACTTTAATCTTCCTGCTTTCCGTGCCAGGCTGACCATTTAATTGTTAACTTGCTGGTATTTTGTAATTAAGGATTTCTTTTTTACAGCGTGTGTGTATGCACATGCAAGAATGTACAAACGTGTGCAGGTTCCCCAGGGAGGCCAGAAGAGGGCAGCAGGTCTAATCCTGCAGAGTATATTTCCTGAGGAGCCATGTGCCCAATGCAGTCAGACTTTGGGAGGCTTTGTGTGCACAGGAATGGACAGAGAGCTGCCAGCTTGCAGGGCAGGGCAGACTTTCTGGGACAGGACACTGTTTTCCTCCAACTCCCAAGACTGTACTCTGCCCTAAGCCTTGCATTCAGCCTTTCTCCTACCTGGGGTCCCCACCCCCTTCCAAGCCACTGGTATTCCCACCTTAAAACCCCTAGCCATGCTGTCTGTCTGTCTTTCTGTCCTCAGGTTCATTATCTGCAACGCCCCATCGCCCTGTGGTGTGGCCTCAACCATTCCTTGGTGCTGAGTCAGACCTCAGATTTCAGCAAGGAGCTGCTGGGGTGCGGCTGTGGGGCCGGAGGCCGGCTTCCTGGCTGGCCCAAGGGGAGTGCCTCCTTTGTCAAGCTGCACATCAAGGTCAGAGCAGGGTCAGGCAAGCGGGCACTCAGGGAGGGTAGAGCAATAGAGCCAGGTGGCCCATGGGACTTAACCTCCCTTCTCTCCAAAGTCTTTAAAATTTATTGGGCGGGGGGTGGGGGGTGGGAAGGCCACAGTGTGCCTGTGGAGGGCAGAGGACAACCCGTGAGATTTAGTTCTTTCATACCCTGATCCTGGGCAGCAAGCATGGCAGCAGATTAAGCCATCTCAATGGGCTTCTTTTGCAAGTAGAATCTCACTGTGGGGTCCAGGCTGGTCTGTACCTCTAGCTTTTCCTGGCTTCCCGTGTCACCATGCCCAGCTTATAGACGCGACCCCTGTAAGGGAGCCGTTGGTTCCATTTCCCCTGTACCGTGAAGTCTCCCTCCCTCACCGCACACTGCTCCCATTCTCTCCTTAGCTGACCCTGATGACTCTATCCAAGTGCACATGGGTCCTGGAACATAGCAAGTTGAAGCTTACTTGCTGGTTCAGGGCCTGTCTGAGAGGGATCAACATAGCATCAGGTTTAGTTGGCTTCCTGGAAGCCCCTGGCAGTGTTAAGCCTCCCTCAGCCCCACCCCTTCTCTCCTCTAAGGTCCCCTTGTGTGCCTGCTCCCTCTGCTCCACCAGAGAATGTCTCTATATGCTGTCCAGCCACGACATTGAACAGTGCCCTGCCTATCGAGACCTGCCAGCCAGCAGGGTGGGAGGGAGCCCTGAACCTAGCCAGGGGGCTGGAGCCCCCCAAGACCCTGGGGGAACAGCCCAGGCCTGTGAGGAGTACCTCAGCCAGATCCACAGTTGCCCCACGTTGCAGGACCGAATGGAGAAGATGAAGGAGATTGTGGGCTGGATGCCCTTGATGGCAGCCCAGAAAAATTTCTTCTGGGAGGCACTGGACATGTTGCAGAGGGCTGCTGGTGGGGGTGGCCCAGGCACCTCGACCCCTGAGAGCTGAGCCCCTCTTCCTAGCCTTTCCTCCTGAAGGAAGTCGGGTCCTGGGCTAGAGCTGAGAAGAGATGGAGTGTCAAAGGACACTGTGTGTACACGGGGTGGGAGGTGGAGTTGTGGGGAGTAGTGCTGCGTATTTGAGGGGAGGGAGGGACCTCTTTTATAAATGTGGGGGGGGGGCTGCCCAGGAGGGGCCCCCAACCTGACTATCATGAGCGAGAAATTTGATGGACAGTAGAATAAAAGGCTAAACCAAAGCCTGTTTTGAAACCCTGGGGCTTCATGGGGGGAGGGGCAAGGGATGAAGGGAGGCCTGGCTGGTGAGGGAGGGAAGACAGAAAGAGCCCAAGCTGTTGTTTTGCTGAGAAAGTGCCAGCAGCCCCAGCTCACCTTCCCCTTCTCACTGCAGAAGCCCCACTTTGTGATGTGGAGGTCGGGCCTGGTCTTGTGGAATAACTGGAACGACAGACATAGCTTCCTTTCCCACTCTGGAGCCTCTGTTGGGTCTGGAAGCTTAACTTGAGTCCATTGGTTTTGTTTGTGACAGAGCCTCACTGTGTGGCCCAGGCTGACCTCTTTAATCATGCTGACTCTATCTCCAGAGAGCTAGGATTGCAGGTGTGCCTCAATCATACCTGCATCAGACCGTTAGTCTGACCGTCACTTCTAGGGGTACCTCACCCCAGTTCTCGGTCCTGTGGAATCAGCGTCTTGTCCTTTGTTGTCTTCCAGTCCCAGTCTCTTCTATCCTTTCCTTACTTTTGGCTCCTTTTCCTCTTCGCGCAGACACACTCTACCCCCCTAACCCTTCCCCGGTACCTTAAAACAGTTGGAAAATAGGGCTCAGAACTCTCCTGGCTTGGCCTGATCTGATCCAGTGTTAAAGGGGAAGTCCTAAATATGTGCAGAAGCTCCTGGGGAAAGGGGTGCAGGCCTATAACCCCAACACGTGGGAAGCTGAGACAGGAAGATCAGAAGTTCCAGCTAGCCAGTGCTTCGTGGCAAGACTGTCTTAAGCAACAAGAACCATCCAGAAATGTGCGGTGGGACAGTGGCTAGCCAAGAGACTCAGACATCCTCAGGACATCTTCTGAGAAAGCAACAGGTGAAGAAGGATCCAGTCTGCACCTGAAAGTCTCCAGCAAGCGCCAGGTCTACAGGCTCAGGACAGAGGGCAGGGGCACATGACTAGATGTCTGGATGATGGTCTCCGCTCCTCTTGTCCCCAGTATTCTTTACCAATTACTATATGTCCAAGACCTAGAGAGGCCCCTGTAGGGACTCAACTACTGTCCCAGCTGTCTCCCTGTCCCGCCTCCCCTGCTGCCCGCCCAGTTGGCCAGTCCCCACGCCCACACACCCGGGGCTGCTTCATCTGGTACTGATTATCCTGCTGTTGCTGCTGCTGCTGCTGTTGCTGCTGCTGCTGCTGAACTCAGCTGCTGCTTCCAGCACTTCCCCCTACATAATGCTGCCTGCTGCCCTAACCTCCCTTGTGGGGCCATTCCTTCTGGCCTGGGTGCTGCCTCTTGCCCGAGGCCAGACCACCAACTACACGAGGTAGGTCTCCTATCTTTCAGATGGCTTCCAGAGGGAGCCTCAGAATGCTTGTGAGTCCTGGGAGGGCTGGGCCTGTGGGTCTCGCAAGCTCTCTGCTAGCAAATGCCTTTTCCTCTTCAGATCCTCCCTGTCTGCTGCCAGGCCACACTGGTCTGTAACATCCACTGTTCCCACTCCTTCACTTCCATTCTTCTGCTCTAAATGTCCCTCGCCACTTAGAGACATGCCCATCCGTGGAGCTTGAACCCAGAAAGCCAAGACCTTGAACTTGTCTGTTAGCTGACATTCAGGAAATGATATTGGGGGAAGGGCAGCAAGCAGAAAGTCAGGTACTAGTTCTTAGCCGGAACACGGAGCGGGGCAAAGGTGGAAGCCCCTAACTGTATGTCCACTGTTGCCCTCCTCATCTCTCTTGCCCCCTCCCCCTCATGGCCTCGTGGCTTGTCACATCTGGAAGTAGTTAGGCCCGGCTCCTGTCCTTGACTGCCAGGCAGGAGGGGGGGGGCGGGTAGAGGAGGCTAGGGGGACTGAGAAGGATTCCCGGAATTCCTGCCGGGGTGGGGGTGGAGCCTCTAGGGGATGGAGAGATGGCCCCATTGCCTAGCGCCACTTCCCCTGGTCCTTGGACAGGAGTCTCTGCTCACAGGCTGGGGCTTTTCCAACGCCCATCTTCCCTCTATTGCCTGGGCTTCCCATCTCATGAACCATCTCTGCAGTGGTTCTGCCTGACACCTCCTCTGTCCTCCAGACCTGTGTTCCTGTGCGGAGGGGATGTGACCGGGGAGTCGGGTTACGTGGCAAGTGAGGGCTTCCCCAACCTCTACCCCCCAAACAAGAAGTGCATCTGGACAATCACGGTGAGAAGACCCCTCTGGTCCCCAATGCCCTTTATCAGTCAGCTCAGGGATACTGTCCCCACCACCAGGCATCACCTCTGGGAAACTCTTTTTCTCTTTGGTCACAAGGGCGTCAGGCCCCACAGTAACATGCTCTGAAGCGTTCCGACCTTCCTCCTCTTGTCCAGTCCTACTACTGGAAATTGAATCCTGGGACTTAGGCATACTAGGCCAGAACTCTACCACTGAGGTACATCTCAGCCTTTTAGCCATTTAGGCTTGTTTTTGTGGTTTGTTTGTTTGCCTTTAACGTGTGTGTCAGGCATGAGTTTGCACACCCATGCATGCGTATATGCAGAGGTCAGAGCAGATGCTGTATGTTCCACAGTTGTACTGTTCTCCACCTATTTTCTTGACATAAAGCCTCTCACTAAATCCAGAGCTAGTCTGAAAGCCAGCAAGCCCCAGTGGTCCTCCTGTCTCTGCCTCCCAATGGGGCTGGGGTTACAGGCATATGTGTGGAGACTTCAATACAGCCTTCTATGTGGGTTCTGGGGATTTGATCTTGAGTAAGCACTTTTACCCTCTGAGCCATCTCCCCAGGTCCCTTCCCCTTTTATTTTTGAAACACGGTCTCTGTAAATTATGGGTCTTTACATTTATGATCCTCCTGCCAAGTAGCTGGGATCCCAGGCACACACCAACACTTCTGGTGCTGAACCTTAAGTTTTTGGAGACAGACTCTCACTGTGTTGCTTAGGCTGGCCTTGAACTTCAAGGTAATCCTATCAGCACAATAAATCCTGGGATTACAGGTGCGAGCTGCCATACCTAGTTGAAGCCTTAATTTTTTATGGAAAAAAATTCTGAGACTCCATCCCTAATTCGCTCCTGTTCTCTCCCTCCAGAGATCACAAGGCAGGAGCAGAGCCTGGCCTTGGCCAGGGGCCTTTCCAGTTATGGGTATTTCTCTGCCTAGGAAGTATTTGGGGGAGGGGGCGATGCCCCGGTCAGGGTTGTTTGGGGCCTGATTTTGCGGGACCCCCATTCCCCTTTTGTCAGGTGCCTGAGGGCCAGACTGTGTCCCTGTCCTTCCGCGTCTTCGATATGGAGCTCCACCCTTCCTGCCGCTACGATGCTCTGGAGGTCTTTGCTGGATCTGGAACCTCAGGCCAGCGACTTGGACGCTTCTGTGGCACCTTCAGGCCTGCACCTGTAGTCGCACCTGGCAACCAAGTGACTTTAAGGATGACAACTGACGAGGGCACTGGGGGACGAGGCTTCCTGCTCTGGTACAGCGGTCGGGCCACCTCAGGCACTGGTGAGTATCCTTGCCTCCTCTTTCCCCTCTCCTGACCCCACCCCGGTTCAGGTCCCCACCCCTGCCCTAACTTTGATCCTCCCCAGATTACTCCCAAGAGTTAGGGCCACCACCACTCCCTTTCTTCTCACTAACTGCCCCTTCAGTCCCTCCTCCCGGTCTTCTCTCCCTCTTCCCGCTCCCACCTACCCCTCTTCCAGGGCCTCCCCCAGGTGCGAGGCGGAAATGGGTCATGGACCCGCGGGTGGAATGGGCGGCCTGGGGTTACTGGGACGGTGAGTAACTGCCCGCCCCCCTCCGCAATCGGGCTCCTCTGACAGGAGTAAGGGGGCACCCTGAAGCTGGGGGACTAGGATTCCCTCACCTGGAGCCCCCTATACCCAGCTCTGGGATCCCGATTGCGGTCCCATCACCCCCTCCCGGCAGCACAAGTCTCTCTGGAAATGTTTCAGGCTGAGACCTCAACAGAGGGGAGGGCACCCTCACAACGTGAGAGCTCTCTAGCCTGCTTAAGAGGATTCTTCTGCTAGGCCGGGATGGAGAGATGGGATCTCCTAGGGGAAGAGGCGTGGTGTGGCGGTGGGCCGGGGAGGGGCCAGAAGGGATCCATTCAATCATCTCCTCTCTGTTGGGCATCCCAGTCTCATATTCCCAGGCGTTTTGGTAACCCGCTCTTTCTACTGTGTCCCCTCATCTTGAGACCCAGACTTCCTAGCTGCCTGCCAGAGCTCCCAGTCTAGAGCGCTCCCCTAGCTGACCGAGGGTCTCCACCGCCCCCCACCCCGTCCCTCTCTCCCCTTCTCAGAGCACCAATTTTGTGGGGGGCGGATGGAGAAGGCGCAGGGAACCCTGACCACGCCCAACTGGCCTGAGTCGGATTACCCCCCAGGCATCAGCTGTTCCTGGCACATCATTGCACCCTCAAACCAGGTACCGACCTTCTCGCCTAGGCTGCCCACCAGGCACCCAGGCAGCATCCTTAAAGGCACACAGCCAGCAAACTTTTATTCAGTATCTATGTCCTGATCCTAGAGCTTGCCCTGGTAGAGACCAAAACCAGCCCCATCTTAAGAGCAAGCGAAAATGATGGAAGTATGTGGTGTACTGGGGTGGAGTTCTCCAAAGGATGCTCCCTGTAGAGTATAGGGTGTGTGTGTGTGTGTGTGTGTGTGTGTGTGTGTAAGACTCTCAGGCTTAGGTTGCAAACATTGGAGGGAACCAGGGGACTCACTATTGGTGCTACTTCCAAGTACTCATGACGATGAGAAAGGTGCAGGGCACACTATTTGGTCCTCCTTGGCCTGTCCTGCTCCAGAGCCTGATGCCCCTACCAGGTGATCATGCTAACCTTCGGGAAGTTTGATGTGGAGCCTGACACATACTGCCGATACGACTCTGTCAGTGTGTTCAATGGAGCTGTGAGTGATGACTCAAAGAGACTGGGGAAATTCTGTGGAGACAAGGCCCCTAGGTGAGTGATCTTTGCCATGGGCAAAGTGTTGGGGCTAACTCTGCATCCCTGTGTGAAGGGTTG